GAAGGCACGATTCCTCATGGGATTCTCGACGCACGTAGACAAAGGACCAGACATAGCATATATGTCTTCAGAGTACCTAATGGGAATGAGGAGATGGGAATCATATGCTTCTCGCCACTCCCTCATCATGGGTTCAGAAACGAACCGGAGCCCATCAGTAGAGGAAGGAGAAGGGTTAGTAGAAAAGATCTCTGGTGGGCTTAGGATATCATCATCATTTTTAGGTTGGGGATTGTTTGGTGCATTGGAAAGGAAAGCCATTGTTGCAGATTTGGAGAAAACGAAGTTGACACTACAAGGTGTTTAAAAGCAGAAGATTTGGAAATGCTTGGAGTGGTGAAAGTTCCAAATGAAAAGGCTCAGGAGTATTTATAGTCTTCAGAAAGGGATATGTCTCGTCAAGGCCATTTAATGCTGTGAAGATAGTGGTGCACGTGGCGAAGTATGAAGCAGTTACCGTGCAGACATTGGGAAACGTTTTGACATGCTTGCCTAGGTTCTAGGAATATGGTCATCATGGCAGTATGGTAACAGCAGTTAGAAAAGACATCTTGGAGAAAGAGTAATGATGGGTTTTTTCGAAAGCAGCAGCTGTTGGAAGACGAAAAGCGCACGTCAGGACTTTGTGGACAACTAAAAAGACAAGTGTCGAATGGAAAGATCAAAGAATGGCTATTTCTTTGGGCATCGAAATAGACATTCTTGGGGGGCAATTTGTTGGCTCCCGAATTCGAAACTTACTATATTTGGTCTTTTAGACCAAAAAACTGGAATAAATCAAGCCAAGAATGTTTCGACGTATGAAATAACTTAGAAAAAGATCTAAGTTGTATTTTGAGCCTTCGAACAGGGCTCACTTTCAAGGTTTCGACTAAAGAGGACTTATGACCTTCGACTAAGAGAAAATACCCTCGCTTTGACACATAATACGAGGGACATTTGAATTTGAATTATTGGAGGGAAAGAATGTTTCGCTAGCGACTAAGAAGAAACAATGTGGCTGGAAGCTAGAGGTCGAGAGACATGCAGAACACACTTGTCTTCATCTTAACACAGAGTCGTTCCTCGACGGTTACTTAGTTTTTAGTATAAATTAGGAAATCTGTGTAGTTTTTGGGTGTGTTCAACCTATTGTACTAGTAACTCAAATATTGTCCAAGTAACTGCTGTGTGAGAAAGGATAAAACTGAGAAATGTACGTTGGAAACACATCTTTTTATTAATGAAAGTCTTTTACATTGTTTTAATCTTATTTTGCAAAGTTATCTTTCTTGCATCTTTACCTGCATTTCTACATTTCTGTCTACTTTTCCAAAAACTCAAGTATCTTTTCTCTGGTCGAACGTGCGTTCTTCCTGATTACTTGTCTTACATAAAAAATTAGCATATGTTCTGGGGTCAATCTGATCGATCCCGTGAGTAACCAAAAGAACTTTCCTTTTTGGAGGATCAACGGTTGTTTACCAAAAACCACGGTAAACAAAAGGTGCCTCCTGATGTTCAATATCAAATGAAACAAAATCTTGATGAAGGTGCAAATAAGAGAAGAAAGACTCAAACACAAAATTTTGATGTTGATCTTACTACTCAAGAGGGTGGTGTAGTAGAAATGGATGTAGAACAATCAAGATCAAATTCAGTGATTGTGTCTCAAAAGAGAAAGAATACTAGTCGTATTGGTAATTATTTTATGCCTAGAACAACTTCTGGAGCTCAACCTTCTTTAAAAAGTGTGTTACAAAGTAAGGAATTGGTGGAGAAGTGTGATCTAGCTATTGCAAGATGGTTCATTGATTCTTCTGTTCCATTTAATGTAGCTAATCTGCATATTTTCAATCTATGGCTGATGCACTTTGCAGCATGAGTCCGGGGTATAAAGTTCCAACTATGCATAGTCTTCGTGGCTATTTGTTAAATAAATGGGTTGAAGATGTGAACAAATTGATAGAGGAGTATCGTGAGATTTGGAAGAAAACTGGTTGTACTCTAATGGCCGATGGATGGACTAATCGAAAAAGAAGAACTCTTATAAACTTTCTAGTTTATTGTCCCAAAGGTACTATTTTTCTAAAATCCGTTGATGCTTCTCATGCTTCAAAAACTGCAGATATGTTGTATAAGCTTTTTAGAGAGGTGGTTTTATTTGTTGGGCCTGAAAATGTAGTTCACATAGTGACAGATAATGCTGCAAATTATGTTGCTGCTGGAAGGTTATTAGAAAATGAGTTTCCTACTTTATTTTGGTCTCCTTGTGCGGCACATTGCATTAACTTGATGTTGCAAGACATGGGAAAATTAGAGGAAGTAAGTGAGACAGTGTCACATGCTTCTAATGTTACCAAATATATTTATAACCATTGTTATGCATTGTATTTAATGAGAAAGCAAACAGGTGGAAGAGAAATCCTTCGTCCTGCTCCAACTCGGTTTGCCACTAATTTCATTATTTTGTAAAGTATTTTGTCTCACAAAAACTCACTAAGAGCCATGGTAACATCTAAAGAATGGACAAGCTCGGCATATGCCAAAGAAGCAAAGGCAAAACAGTTTGTGGATCAAGTTTTAGATTCTGGATTTTGGAGTAAATGTGCTGATGTAGTTAAACTCACTGAACCACTTGTGTGTGTGTTGCGTCTTGTTGATAGTAAAGATAAAACTGCTATGGGCATTCTATACAAATCTATAGTCAAAGCTAGAGAGAAGATGGTGAGGAGGTTTAAAAGAAATAAGAAGAAAGTGGATCCTTACTTGAAAATCTTAGATAAACATTGGGATTCACAGCTCCGCAAAAATCTTCATGCTGCCGGTTATTGGTTGAATCCAGCTTGTAGATATAATGATGTAGAATTTGAAAAACATGCATCCACAACATCAAGGCTTTTAGATGTCATTGAAAAGCATGCTAATGGAAATTCTGAACTTCGATTGAAGTTAACAGATGAGATGAGAATATTCAAAGACAGTGAATTATATTTTGGAAGGAAATCAGTCGTGGATGAACGATGTATTGTGAGGGCAGGTAATTTCATAACTTCTAACTCTTGATATATATTTTATTTTATATTTCAATATGTTTGTAAATTTATTTAATCACATGGTATAAACAGATCAATGGTGGGAAACTTATGGCACTTGTACACCAACTTTGCAAAGGTTAGCTATTCGTATTTTAAGCCAAACTTGTAGTGCTTCGGGTTGTGAACGCAATTGAAGTATATTTGAGCATATTCATTTCAAAAAAAGAAATAGATTGGAGCATCAAAAGCTTAATGATTTAGTGTTTGTTCGTTACAACTTGAGACTTCAAAATAAGTATTATGGTTATTTTTCTCTGATCATTATATTTTTATATTTAAATACATATAATTAAATTTAATTCATGTGTGCTTAGGAAAATAAGAAATGGGAGTTATGGTCCTATCAATATTGAAACAATTGCCGACCATTCTAGTTGGGTATTAGAGGATTCACCACCTCTCTTAACCAATGAAGAGTTGAAAGCATTGCGAAATGACCTTGCAAATATGATCATCCAATCAATTTCAAGTGATATTTGTATGTTCTAATATGAGCATAATATAGTTTGTGGTTGTGAATCAATTTAATGTCTCATATTTATCATCTCTAAATTTTTTTTGTTAATTATTTTTAAAAATATTGTTATAGATCAAATAGATTTAGATGAGGATGAAGATAGAGATATGGGTAATGCACAAGATATTATTGTTGATACTGTAAATCAAGAAAAAAGCAACACCAGAGAAGATGAAGTTGGTGGAGAAGACAATGAAGTTGAAGATGGATATTGGTGGAGAAGACAATGAAGTTGAAGATGGATATGAATATCAAGATTATGACAATTTGACTTCATGGACATAAAAAATTATGGATCGTTGAGTATGAATCTGTGACTTATTATAATACTATAACTTATAAATTGTTAAGTTTCTATCACTTCTTTGAATTTATAATTTACTACATTAAATTTCTATCACTTATTTTGATTGTTACTAATACTTTTGTTTATTTAAAATTATTTGAATTTATAATTTTCTATATTATTATAGTTACAAATTTCAGGTAATGAATATATTTTTTATAGAAATCGGATCAAAAGCCATGCAGTCTGACCAGTGATCCACTGGTCCGACCAGTAACTCAATAACTTTACCGAGTCGATCACCGGTCTGAATTTTAAAACATTGCTTGATAGTATAACTCGTCTCAAAATGTCAGGTTTAAAATTTACTTGATGCTAACATTCGTAACATTCGATGGCGATGAAAATAAGACTAACCCATCCCAAATTTGTTTTTAACTTGCAAGTACACAGTCAAGCACAAGTTGACAGCTCAAGAGAACTAGAAAGATATAAACATGATCAAAATGGGTTCCACCATCACATGATGACAATTCACAAAAAGCATTGCTTCTTTGTACCTACCTACTTTATTATATTTTTCTGTGCTTATCTGTCCTACCAAATTATGTTATGCATATGATGCCTCGTCTACTACAACCTACAGTACCATACTTCTACTTTTTCTCTATCCATCCATTTTCTAGTACCAACATTATTTAACCATTTCCTACCATACCCTCTTCTATTTACAACTTTCAAATGCATTGTCGGTGTTGCTAGCTGTTTGCAACAAATTTCAAATATCATAAACTCAATAACTACAACCAACAAACCTGCTAAAGTTGCATATACATGACAACATGTCAAACAAAACAAGAGACTACAATACAAAAGAGCACAATCTAAAACTTAAAAAATAGCTTCTTCATTTCATGTTTCATTTACAAGTACAGTTAGCATATCTGCACTTAGTTGGCTCTTAATCTTCTATGTGCCAATTCAAAAAATACCAATATAAAACATGAAAAAAAAACGTATACAAAAAAATGAATGTTGAAGCTTTTAAAAACATAAGCCCTACACATTTAGGATTTGACATCACAAAACTTGAATGATATCAAAATGACCGATATCTAACCTATGGATTGATGTTGCATTCTCGCAAATAGACGTGCCCATAGTTGACATACTTTGTCCAATAACTTCGAAACTTTGGAATACTTATCTCCAACCATGGCTTCATGTTCCCGTTGTAGTGCATCACAGCAGCCCGCTCGATTTCTTTATGGTTGACATTGTGATTGTAGCCAAGACCCAACACGTGCCACGAACGGTTTAATGGGAAAGTGCGTTTCCAGAATGTTATCAGACCTGGTGGCAGTGTTCCTAACTTCCATAGTTGTCTATCATGATTCTGGATTTCAGTTTGAGTACAAAAGAAATCAATTCACAATTCAACCAAAAAATAAACAAGATATCTCAAAATTCAACCAAAAAATAAACAAGATATCTCAAAATCCAAGGAATGCAACAGCAATTCTCCTAATCGTATGATTAAAGAAGTTATATGTAACGCCGACACATTCCATTGAAGGCTTCTATTGTCCAACACATGTCGGTGTCAAACACATGTAATTATATTACTAGTGTCAACATGTTTGCGTCAGTGCTTCATATCAATCATATATACTTGCAAAAAAGTGTGCATTACTTACCAGATTCTGCCAGTTGTGGTACACCTCGGTGATCTTTTGCCTCTTCCATTGGACTAAATCAAATACATTCATACCGTACGCCCACCCACAAGCACGTGGGTCAAAATTCTTTGCAATAAGAGGATTTGAGAAGTTAAGATAGCGATCAAATCGGTGGAAACTTTCACCACAAGTTTCTACAGCTCCGTTTACATTGCCTTTCAGGTCAACTGACCAAAGACCAGTCAGATCCTTCTGCACAACTATATCATCGTCCAAGAACAGCACTTTGTTGAGCTTTGGAAAGACTTCAGGCAGGTAGAAACGTAGATGGTTCAAGATAGATAAATACTTTGGATTGCGAAACTTGAGGTTTGAATCAGAAGTTGCTCGATGAGCCTTGAAGTAATAATCTATCATAGCTGGGGAAGCCAACTGCTTAAGAACAGGGCTGTAACTTGCATTCAGCCATTTGAAGTCTTCAATGTTCTGAACTTGAATGGTTGCCTTGCCAGGTGGATTCCCCAAAAACCACATCCTCATTGCCGCGTAATTGAGCCTGTCGGTAACAATATGGAAAACATGTTTCGTTGCATCCTGAAAATTCATTGGAACAATATTACTACGAGCAAGTGCCGTCATTAGGAAATAAAAGCAAAAGCATCATTGGCTTGTTGGTTATTTAAGAGACTTGTCAGAGTAGAAACCATTTACCTTGGCATTAACAACAGTCGAGTTCACAACAACAGCTGTTGCCAATATGTTGTCCGAAAATATTGCATAATGGTACAGTTTTGGGTCTTCTAAGTTCTCTTGATTAGTGAACTGTTGCTGAGAAGCATTCAACTTATAATAATCAGTTGTAAGGCGCAACGGAAGACAATGAAGACCTTTGGGCAGTGTTTTTGCTGTTAATTGTGTTAAGAACAAAGTCTGCTTCTTGAGCACATGTAGCTGCTCTTCTGTTGAATGGATCATAGCCCGAAGCTTCTTCACAGAAGCAGCACAATCATCTTGAACTTGCTTTCCTTTCAACAATGTTTGCTCCATTGCCTTCATTTTCTCCTTTGCACTGCCATTAATTAGTTGCAAAACAGTGGAAAATTTTAGCTATCGCTATTCATCACATTTATATGAATCATAAAAACAGGTCAATTTGAAAACAAATAACAGCTTTTCAAAAGGTAACTTACTTCCTAGGTAAATCAGAATCTTTGGTTGCTTCCCCAACTACTCGTGTTACTTCTTTAACCCTTAAACGAAGCTCCCGAGTGAGATGAGGGTTGCTTTTAACCACTGGAAGAGAAAGGAAGACCTTCGCTTGGATGAGCTGATCTTTTAGTTGTTGTACTCGAGCATCCGATGGCAATTGGTCATTCTGTTTGTAGGTCTCAGGTCTTTTCTTGTTTCCGTCAGAAGTTTCCGTTGCTTGTTGTTGCTCCAATATGGTGCCCTGAGAAAAGATTAATCAATTAAGAAATGGAAAAACCCAAATTCAGTAATAAATGTCAATACGGGCAACAATATGTTAGCAACTTGTTTCGGCCAATTATCACCATAGACATACACGTGTATAACCTTTTTTTTGACCAATTATCGCTATTTAAGACTTCCATGAAAATGCAGCAGTAACTGACACAAACTGAACAAACATACATATAAACCGAGAGGAAAATATATCAGCTACCTTAACAAGAGGCTCTTCAGTGGAATCATGAGTCAATTTAGAGATTTTCCCATCATGGTCATCAACATCAATAGCATCTTCCCCACTCACATGTTCGCCAATTGTATCAGCTTTCTCCAAGGATCCATCACTGCCTTGACTTCCTTGCTTATTTTGATCTTCTTCCGTTGTGGTTGACAACACCCTAGCAGATACATGTTCCCTCGATTCCCCCAATTGCAAGGCTAAGTAAACACAACAATGACGTTACAAATTAACTAAAAATCAAAATAAACAAACCTAACCCTCAAATCTAACTGAACAAAATACCTTGAGGCAAATTCCTTCTATTAATTGAATCATCATCTGTATACACAAGTCCAATAGGTTCCTTAAGAACTGTCGAAGTTTCCTATTCACAAAATAAGATATTTCAACAATAAATAAAAAAATTATCAAAGTTTCAACACAGAACCAAAAAATTTCTTCCTACAAATCTATTTGAAATCATTACCTGAGGAAGAAGATTCAAGTGGCTAGAGTCTGCTGCACTGAAAGGCTGAAACAAAACCCAAAAGAACAGAACTCAAAACTCAAAGATCTCTAACTATCACTCATTCTTACTCATACAAAAAAAGAAAGAACCAAAGAATCAATTAATTTGACTAATAATTACTTACAAAAGTACTAACATCTTCAATAGAATCTTCAATAGACTCTTGTTTGGCTGCAAAACACATTAAAAAAACAACAAAATTCATCATCAAATCCAATAAACAACTAAGAAAAATTACTGAATTACTGATAAAAAGACAAGAAAGAAAAACTCACTGGAGGGTGGAGATTCAAAGGAACCAAGACGATCAGTGTAGAGAACAATAGGAGCAACAACAGTAATACATAGCAACACCACCACAATGCTTCTAACCCCTATCATTACTACTATAGAAAACGCTCAGATTCTATTCAGATCCTATCAGGAAAGAAAAAAAAAAGAAACTTTGAGAAAAATAAAGAAGACCCACTTTGTATTTTTCTTCTGGGTGTGTTTGGAAATGGACTCCAAACACAAAAGTGCAAAATTTTCAGCTTTTGTCACAAGAGTTATGGAAGATGGAAGAATCTGAAACACATTGAGTGATTTTGTGGGTAAAAATCAGGAATTTTTGTGAATGGGTTTGTGATTTTGATGTTAGAAATGCAAGATTGGACGAAGATTGAGGAAGAGAGAGAGAGAGAGAGAAGAAGAGAAGAGAACGAGTGTGTATTGAATTCAGAATCTGAAAATCTGTATTTTTTTGTTGTCACTATTTGCAAACTGAAACCTTTTTTTTCCTTTTATTAATTTATTAATTGCTTAAAAGGATGGTAATAAACGGAAACAATTAATAAAACTACGCGCAAAATCAACAAAATGGAAAAAACATATATATCTTGATGAAAAAACACGTAAACTTTCTAGCATCAAGAAAAATATGATAAAAAAAAGTTAGAATTAAATATGTTTTTTTTGCCTATTTAAATATTTTAAATTTTATTTTTAGTTTTTATAAAAAAAAATTATATACTTTAGTTTCTACAAATTTATCCAAACAGTTTTAATTATTATTATTTTTTTAAATTTTGAAAACTGTTTAATTATTTTTAAACTTTTAAATTTTTAAATGATTTCATATATATTTTGAATACTATAAATATTTTTTTATTAAATTTTAGAATTTTTTAAAATAAATATAATTAAATATAAATTTTTAAAATTTCAAAAAATAATAATAAAAATAATAAAAATTTTGATTTAAAAATTAAATTTTAAATTTTTTTTAAAAAACTTTTTATAGTATTCTAAACATATCTATAAAATAATCGTTCAAAAATATATATTAATTTAATAATAAAGACTAAAATTATATATATATATATATATATATATATATATATATATATATATATATATATATATATATATATATATATATATATATATATATATATATATATATATATATATATAATATCAATTTTTTAAATTAAATGTGTTTTTGTCTCTAAATTATTAAATTTTGTTTTTGTTTCTATAAAAAAAATAAGTATGTTTTAGTTCTTATATATATATTTGAAGTAAAATTTGACATTGAGAAAATAATAATTAAATGATATAGTAGTATTTAGTAATTTTATTAAGAATTAATAATTTCAAAGTACTACAATGAGCTTTTCAAAATATAATATACTTGGATAGTTTTTCACCTTTCTATCGGACCAATGCATGGAAAGAATTTATCTAGTTTTAAGTATAATATTTCATTGCCTTCCCTTTAACCAGTAAAAGAACCATATTCACACATCTTTTTATTGAGATAGAAAAACTCATTTGTTTAGGAATAAATAACATTGTTTAAAGTGTTTCAAAATAGTTACATAATACACCTGTATACTTTGATTTTTTTTTTTTGAATATCTACTTTTTTTTAAATCTTAAATAATAATATTTTCAAAAATAATAATAATAATTTTTTAAATAAAAAAATTGTCACACAGAGGTCAGGCTATTATGTGTGGCGCATGTATATAAAATTAGGAGAAAACATCACACTGCATGGCTTATCCTTCTGTATAATATCATGTAGTGTGGTAGATACATGTACTAGTAAAGAGGAGGCACTATCCAAGGTGGTTTGACCGTTGTTTTTTTTCTATAAATATAATCATCCATTTTCACACCTCTTCTCACATCACTTTTAAAAATGTCTTTCAATTCCTTGCCAAGGTTTTTCACTCCCTTGCCAAGGTTTTCACTAATCAAAAGAGATGCTCAAGTTATTTTTCGCCAACAAAACCTCCAATGAAGATCAAACTCTGGAATACGCAGACGTTCGAGCATTTTCAGAGGCACTTGATTTGCTGGTTGCACGGAGACATTCCTGATGGTGAACAGATCAGAAATGTTGAAAGGAAAATTATGGTGTCTAACCAAAATGGAGTAACTCGTTCATAGAAAATCGTGAAAAACGACGTTGATGTCCTTATGGTGATGCTTAGACGAACTGATATTGTCTTGATGGTTTTAATCTTCTAGGTATTATGATGTGTTTAGTTATTTTATCTGCTTATCGTGTTATTGTGTTTTGTGTTGTTGTTTTAAGTTTGTCGTGTTGTAATTTTTTAGGTCATTGTCTGAAGGTTGTCGTAATTGAATGTTAACTTGAACATGAAATGAAAAGTTGAATTTAAATTTAAATTTCTTGCTTACCACAAATAAATTACTCTAGAAATAATTATAAAAGTTATGTTGCAGAGCTAGACCCAATATTCGGACAATTTTTTCGATTGTGTCCGGGTAGACGACATATACTGCATAACCTTATCATCTTGTTTGTCGTATCCATTTCGATTCGAATATGTGTGTTGTTAGGGCGACCATTTTTCTTTCTTCGCATTTGTTCATTGTGTCAAACAATGTGCCCTTGATAAGCAGATCAATAATCCTCCTTTGCCAACACGGAAAAGGTATTGATGTACACACTTAATACGCTTTTGACTTTGTAAATGGGGGATATATGTCCTCTTGGGTCCATGTGAACATGCCGCTATGACATGAGAGCACACTGAACCAACCTTTAATACGGTCAAATAGTGACCGTGTGTGTTAGATTTGGAAGCATCCTCCTGAAGTGATTTCATAGAGCATTCACTAAACAATTACCCTGATTGTAACACTGCCCTCCATTTTTAACTCTTGGTATCGAACAATGGCACCAACTTAAAATATGTTGCTTTAACCAAAGCAGTTATCAGTAGGTTTTTTATGCCTTTGAACACAGGGTTCATTGATTTCACTAGATTTGTTATCGTGTGGTCCCATTGTTGACCATTGTCATATATCCGAGTTTACTTCTCCAAGGGACAGTTATTGATCAACCTTAACGCTTCTAAATTTGTCAACCTGATTTCTTCACGATAGTGTTAAAACGATGGTTCTGTTAACATCGACTTCAGGATGGTCTTCCTCGTCAGATTCGTCTTCTTCTTCAAAAACTTGTGAAGGATCTATAACTTGAGACTGACTTGGTTGTTGTATTAATAATTTGAGAGACTTCGCTAGAGTTGAATGTCGTCAATAGAGGCATCGACATGAATTGGTCCTTAGAGATCCAATCTTTCAAGAAACGGTTAAACCAACTCGTCATTATTTGAGATGGTACACATCGGTTTTACCAAATCTGTTTCTGTCTCAAGATACATATTTAGTTAACCCACGCTAAAGAGCTACATCATACGTTGAACAACCAACCCCGCGATAAAACCAACCTCGACAACAATACTAAACCCAACAACATTGTTAATCCACTCAAACCCAACAACCTTACACCACCACATTCATCCAAGCCCGCCAACCTTACACCACCACATCCACCCAAACCCATCAATTCATGTCACATGCACAAACACAAAACCAAGAGTATGACCCGGACAACCATCAATAATATGTTGCCAACACTTCTTACCACAATACTGATGATACATACGATACACCCACTTCCTACCGAAGCACCAAACCATCACAAGTCTTTCAAACATCACAAGAATAATTTCTATGTTTAAAAAATGATTCATCAACCCAATTCTACTAACAACCTCACCCACACGTAATCCAACCAACACGACACAACTTTGACAACATGGACACTGATCTCTTTGAATACACCTCACATTGGGGAGAAATGGTCGATGAGTTGTTTGATCCAACTGTTTTCTCGGGACCATCCCATCAAGAGAACATAACTCAAACACCTCAGGGAAATCAGAATCAAAAACCTTAAAGATAAATACAGGAGCGTTATTGTTATACCGATGGCGTTTGGGTGGAGGGGTTCGTTAGTAAAAATATTTCCAATCATTATATAATTTCTTTTTTTAAGTATTATTATTATAAGTTATTTTTATTTTTATTTATTATTTAATTTTTATGTTTAAAAAAAATCAAAATTTTAAATTAAAAAAAACAAAAATAATTGTTAAGTCACCTAAAGTGGCGCCTCCTCCTTATTGATACATGTGTGTGTCACACTGCATGGCATTATATAGGAAGACAAGATATACAGTATGGCGCCTCTTCCTTATTTTACATGCATGCACCACACATAGTGGCTTGACTTCTGTATGGCGATTTTTTTTGTTTGAAAAGTGGTTAGCTTAGAATTTTTTTTGAAAATATGATTATTTAAAAAAAGATTAAAAAAGGCGATTATTCAAAAAATCGTATACTTTTATTGAAATGTTTTGTTTGTGATGTAATATTTGAATAATAAATATTATAGAAGTGTAATTTTGAAAAAAATTCATTTATATTAGGTTAACTTCAACATAATTATGAAATAGAGAGTGATCACCTTCCTTTGGAGTATTAAAATATGAATAAAAGGTTTTAGATGAATAACTATCAACTTACACAATGAATAAAAGAAAAACGAAGGTTTCTATCGTACTCCAAAATTTGTCCTCTCTTTTTCAAGGATTCTCAAGGAATTGATCAGACAAAATCATCTCTAAAGCGTCGGGACCCTAAATTAGGGTTTTGACTGAGAATGACCAATATTTGACTTTTGACCTAGTACATAACTTATTGGTTCGAAATATGATCTCAAGGATTCAAGTACATCATTTTGACCTAATTTCATATTTCAATTCATCCCCCGATTGACAGATGAAATTTGGTCAGCTGATGAAAAAGTCAACTATACACTAAAAAGTCAAACTTTTGACATTTGGTCGAATTTGAGTTTCAAAAATCCCATTTCATCAAGATAATTCAAAATATGGAATTTGATCATCAAAAATCAAGAAAGTAAAAAATCAAACTTTGCAAGACTTGGAAAAAATTTCTAAGTATTTTCTATACATGATTAATTTCATTACCTCATGACATTTTTCTTCACC